ATCCCCAAAGAAAATAATTGATGATGTGTCCCCATTAAAATCAAAAGGTGTTTCTGAGCACATGATTTTGTCAGAAGAAAAGAAGGAAGACACTGGATTGTATTCCCTAGATGTGGCCTCTGTGTCTGAACACTCTCTCCTACCATCCACAACTGAGCAGACTTCTGAATGCCAGTCCCCACCACTTTCAGCCACTCCATCTGAACATGTTGTCCTATCAGAAGAGACAGTAGAAATTGAGCGATACACACCCTCTTCCACCTCAACTTCTGAAGTTTCAGTACCACCATATGCAACACCCGAATCTCAGGGGGAAGAAATTATCCAGATATCCCCTTTAAATCTAAAAGGGGTCTCCTCACCCACGAATTTCTCAGAAGAAGAGCAAGAAGACATTGGACCCTTTTCTCCAGACTCAGCATTTGTGTCAGAATTCTCATTTTCACCCTATGCAACTCAGGAAATAGAGAAAAGAGAATTTGAATGCGATTCTCCAATATGTTTAACATCACCATCTGAACAAACTATTTTGTCAGATGAAGACACTGAGGTTGAACTTTTCTCTCCAGACTCAGCATCACAAGTTTCAATTCCACCATATAGAATCCCAGAAACAAAGAAAAATGAATTTGAGCATGATTCACTGGTAACTACAACATCTGCCTCAGGATACTCTTGCTTTTCAGAAGCGGGTGAGGAAGACATTGCACCAACAGCTGCTACACCTGTACCTGAGCACCTCAGTTCATCACAGAAGCAACAAGCCAAACCTTCCCCTTCACTGTCTGCACCTGAAGACTCGAGTTTGCCACCTTCAGCAAATAAAAGAGAGATCACAGAAGTTCAGCCAGATGCTCAAACAATCTCAAGACCTGTATCTGAATATCTCATTTTGGCACAGGAGCAGATAACTCGAGCATTTTTAGAACCTGACTCTGAGGACTTGATTCCATCATATTTAACCAGTGAAATGGATAAGGGAGAAATTCAGACTATTTCATCAGTAGCTGCAAGACCAGTTTCTTTACCTGAACAATCATTTACGGTAAAGGAAGACACCAAGCCTGGTGTGTGTTCATCTCAATATTCAGCTTCACCTGATTCAGTTCATGCACTTCATGCACTTAAGGAGGAACAAGAACTCAAAGCTTCACTCACTCCAAAAGCTGCAAATGAACAGATGGCTTTGTTAAAAGTTAAAAGTAAGGAAGAAATTGTGCCTGATTCTCAAGAAGCTACAGCACATGTATCACGGGATCAAGAAATGGAGCCTCAGCCTCCAAATGTTCTAGGGTCTGGGATGAAATATTCAGTTCTTCCTGACTTGGTAGATGAGCCAAAGAAGGATGTGAAACCTAATTTAGCTCCAACTGTGACATCTGAACTAGAACAGAGAATGTTGTCAGAGAACGAACCTGAAGTAATAAAATCATATTCACCTCTAAAGGACACATCTTTATCTGGACCTGAGATTTTATCAGCAGTGAAAACACAAGTGAAACATGACTCTAAAATAACTGATACATCTAGAGTGCTGCATTCAGCTCCACCAGGAGTGCAAAAGGGAACTGAACATGAACCACCTGCACCAGAATTTCCGGAAGAAATAAAGAAAGAAATTGAACCTAGTTGTTCATTAACCACAACATCTGTAACTAAGCATGACTCAGGCTTAACTAAGTTAACAAAAGAAGAAACCCCAACAGATTTCTCTTTTACCACCCCTCTAGAACATCCAGTCTTAACAAAAGTAGAAAAGAGTGAATTAGGAAGTGATTTGCCACCACTGGTGACGTCGACAGATGAACATCCACTTCTTAAAGAAGAAAAGGTAGCACTGAAAATTAGTTCTTCTACTGAAACGGCTACATCTGAACGTCCAGCTTGGTCAGAAGCAGAGAAAGAAATTAAACTTGATTCACCTGCAGGAATATCCTCTGTACCAGTGCATTCTTTGTCCAAGGTAGAAACTGAAGAAGTTAAACCTGGGTTGCCAATAACAAAAGCATTGTCTTGTCAACATTCAGATGTAACTAAAGAAGAGAGGGTGGAAAATGAACAAGGTGTTTCATTTTCTACAGTCCTGGACTCTGAACAACTGGTTTTACCAGAGAAAAAGAATTCTCTGTCTGCCTCAGAAGTGTCAGGGCCTGAACATGTGCTTTTGCTCAACGAAGGTAGTGAGGTAAAGGAAAAAGAAACCAAACTTTTTTCCTCACAAAACATGTCACCTGCACCCAAACAGACAGCCCCAGAATGCCAAAATGAGGAAATAAAAAGTTCTCCTGCACTGGAAAATTTAGCATTAGAAGATTTAACTCCAACCCTTGGAGATGATAAGAACAAAGAGGCAGAAGAGCCATCTTCTACAGCGCGGGGAAATTTCCCATCAGAAAGACAAGATCTTGTTCTGGCAGAGCTCTCTTTGGAAGCTGAAAAGAAAGACAAGCCATACCAAGTATCAGAATTACTGAGCACTGGGTCAGAAGTCATTCATAGTTTAGGTGGGCAAGATGGATCCATAGATACAAAACACATAAAATCTCCCATAACCGAAACAGGGGATTCTGTCTTAGAAAAGAGCCTCACTGAACTTAGGAGTAGAGGAGAAGGAAAAGAAGAAAACAGGGAACGTCATGTGTCAGCTACAGTCGACCCTGAAATTCCAGAGGTTTCATCATACCTTAGGGAGGAACCACAGATTCAAGAACTTAAATCTTTCTCTCCCAAGGTAGTCAGCTTAGGATCAAAGGAAGCATTGGACCCTCTAGTTGAAGGAGACAGCCCCAAAGAGCTTCAGCCACTTTCTTTTTCTTTAAAACCATCATCAGAGAAATTGAACCATTCAGCCGACATTAAAGAGGGAGAAAAACAGGAAATAAACCCATTACTGTCAACAGGAAATTTGAAGACACAAGTGATAGGACATATTGAAACAAAATTAAATGAACAAACAGACCAACCAAATTCATTCCGTGTGCCCCAGAGTATAACAGATCCATCTAAGATTGTTTCTTCTGACCTCCTTGTAGACAAAGAGAAGCCAGGAAAAGCACTTCATTCAGAACAAGCTGTTAAATTACCTGATATAAGCACATCTTTTGCAGATAAACAAGATCTGGGAGTTAAACAATTTTTATTTCTGAAAGAGAATTTGCCTTTGGAAGAATCAAAATCACTTACAACAAATGAGCCTGAAGATGTTAAAGAAACACAAGTGAAAGAGGCCCTTATTTTTCCAAAGGATAAAAGCTGGATACTAGAAAAGCCAGAAAGGGATCTGGCAAGTCAACATGAAGAAAGAATATCAGGATCTGTGCAGCTGGGTTCCTCTGGCAGTAATGATTTGATGACAGGACAGCTTAAGGCTGTTGTGCCAGATAAAGACCACACATGTGAAACCAAAAAGCAGGTTCTGCCACATTCTGCTGAAGTATCTCCTGTATCATTACAAGAGCCAGTATCTACTCTCAGTACCTTCAGTGGTGACATAGAGACCTTATCAACTAAGACTTACTCTTCGGAAGAAACAAAGCTGGCCCCCAAACCAAAATCTTTAGTTCCAACTGGAAGTGTAGAGAGAAACGAAGCAGAGAGGAAGCAGATCTTTTCTTTCATGGGGAGTGAAAGTTTGACAGTGGAAAAAGCAAACGCAGAATTGTCCAGGCCTTGCAAAGAAGGCAGCCAGGAAGAAATCAACCTACCTTCCGAAAGAATCCTTCAGAAAGGAGTGTCTGGCCCATCAGTGGAACTGATCAAATCAGAAACTATTCCCTCTCCCTCCAAAGCAGCCCCTTTCCTGGCAGAAGATGCAGAATCTGCATTGGACAGCGAAAAAGAAGCGCACAGGAGTATATCTTCTTTACCTGGAGAGAAGTCATTAGAAAAAGAAAAAACGATTCAGTCAAAGGTTTTAGATGTTAATGAGAGAGGGAAACCAGCACCTGAAGTGAAAACACCCACACCAGTAAAACTCCTCTCTTCGATCCAAGAAAATGAAGAACCTCAATCTGCAGAGCCATCTGAGGCAACACAAAAATTGCCTAAGCAGCCAAAGGCAGTTGAGCGAGGCCTTTCTGAGGAGAAGGGAAAGAAAGGAATCTTATCATGGATGTCCAGTTTGTTTTTTGGATCAAGGACTCCAGATGACAGAGTTGCTGAAAAAGATTTAGAAACTCAGCCAAGTCCATCTGTAGAAAAAGCAGTGCCTGCGACACTGAAGTCTGAAGGAGCAGCTCCAGCTGACTTTAATGCAACCAAGACGCCAACTGATCATCTGTTACCAGAGACAAAACTTAAACCTGCTGAAAAATCCAGAGGTACTTTAGTTAAATCTGGTGAAAGCCAAGACTTTAAAGAAAAAACTACATTTTTATCAAATGTAGAAGTTTTACAACAGCCCCAATCCAACCTTGAGGTGTCTAGTGAAGATTATGGGGAAAAAGAAATCCTAGCGTATTCAGAAGAATTGGATTTAAACTCGGTAGTTACTTCTGCTGATGGTGAGGAACGTCTTGAAATTCAATCTTATTCTCCCATGGGTGAAGAAGCACAAAATGCTGTTCCTCTTCACGTCGCTGATAGTAAAAGAGCCCAGAAGCCAGAAATTTCTGCTCCATCTAAATGGAATATTTCTATTCTTAAGGAAGAGCCAAGAAGTGATCAAAAAGAAAAATTATGCTTTTCATTTGATGCAGTGGATAAGGTGCCACAACAGCCAAAATCAGCTTCATCTAGCTTCACAAGTAAAAATATCATGAAGGAATCAGAGAAGCCAGAGACAATAATTTTGCCAGTAGAAGAATCTGAACGCAGTTTAATTGATCTGGGTGAAGACAGACCGAAGAAAGAAATGCAAAAACCTACTTCCTTGAAAATTTATGAAGAGGAAACGAAACTCAGGTCTGTTAGCCCAACTGAGGAGAAAGGTAACTTGGAAACCAGATCACATTCCTTGGCAGAAAAGGAGGTGCTGGCAGAAAAGCAAGAAACTATGGCCCCGTTAGAATTTAGAGATAATGAAATGGGGAAGGCACAAATTGCACGTGGATCTAGCCCTATTAAATTGGAAGAATCAAAAACCACAGCTGTGCTTCAGCAAGTCTCTCAAAATGAAGACCACAAAGAAAGATACACAATTATGGAGGAGGAGAAAGATGAAAAACAAAAGCAGTCACAAGCATTTTTAGAAGGAAGAAAGTGGCAGGAAATTCAACCTTATTCCTTGAATGTAGCCAGGTTTATGCCTGAAGAATCAGATATCTCTTTAAGTCATTCTTCAGGTGAAACTCAACCACTTTCATTAGTTAAAACTCTATCAGTTACTGAAAAATCAGAAACTGTGTTCTTGGAGGCTCACCCAGAAATCAGAGAAACAAGGGCAGTAGGAACTCAACCACATCCAAAAGAAGAAAGTAAAGTTTTGGTGGAAAAAACAAAGACTTTCCTTCCAGTGGATCTTTCTTATCGTGAAGAAATAGATAAGCAGTCTGTACCTAAGGAAGGAAATCTGATATTGGAAAAGTCAAGCAGGGAGGTGGCAAGTCACAGTGAAGAAAAGAAACAGGTTACAGTGCCAGAGCCATCAAAAGGTGTTTCAATAGATATCACAAAAGAAAGTATGAAACAAGGATCTCCATCTAAAGAATCTGAAAGGATTTTAGATCATCCTTTTGATGAAACCATGAGCTTAGAAACCCCACCATCTTTGTTGTCATCTGCGAAATCACAAACACTTGTTTCTAGAGCTTATCCAGAAATTGATACAGTGAAGAAACAAGAAATGCCATGGTCAGAATTGACTCCAGATAGGCATACAGTCCATACTATTCAAACATCTAAAGATCTAACATCTGAAAGGACTAAACAATCTGTTGTTGCTTCAAATCACCACTTGGAGGCTGTGGAAGATGCCCATGTAAATGAACCAAGCTCTTCAGTGAGCAGCAACTATGCTCGATTTATAAAGGATGCATCATCAATTGATGCTGATAAAATGGTTTCTTCTAGAGAAATATCCAAGGAACCTGAAGACACGTATGTAAAAGATGAAGAATTTACAATGACTAGCAAGCCAGCTGGACTTTCAGAAGATCAAAAGAGTGCCTTCAGTATTATTTCTGAAGGCTGCGAGATATTGAATATTCATGCTTCTGCATTTATTTCTTCTGTTGATCAGGAAGAAAGTGAACAAATGCAAGATAAATTAGAATATTTGAAAGAGAATGCTTCATTTAAAACAATATCTCTTCATGACAATAGTGAGGCAGTCTCTTGCCATAAAACATTAAAGAGTAAGTTAGAAGATTCTGATCAAGTTATATCATTGCAAGAAAATAAACAAAAGGCATCTTTTAACACAGAAGGGGAGATGCCCACCTATTCAGAAACTGATGATTTCACCTTTAATCAGCCCGCAGCTCCTAGTGAAGAAGATTATTTTGAAAAATATACATTGATTGATTATAACATCTCCCCAGACCCAGAAAAACAGAAAGCTCCATGGAAATTAAATGTTGAAGTGGAACTCTCAGAGCAGGTTACAGAAGATACTGTCTCTTTCCCAGAAGGTTCAGAGGAAAGTGCCCTGGAACATGAATATGACTTGCTGAAGTTAGATGAAAGCTTCTATGGGATGGAAAAGGACGACAGCAAATTATCTCACCCAGAGACCCGGAAGCATTTGGATATCCAGCAATCAGCTGACAGAGATGTTCCAAAGAGCATAAATAGAGATGTGGACTTAAAGGCACCTGGGATGCCATTATTTGGTGCAGAAGAAGGAGTTTTGTCACGAACCCAGATATTTCCTACCACCACTAAAGCCATTAATCCTGAACTTCTGGAGGAGCCACCTGCACTCGCATTTTTATACAAGGATCTGTATGAAGAAGCAGTTGGGGAGAGAAAGAAGGAAGGGGAGACAGCTTCTGAAGGTGACAGTGTGAATTCTGAGGCATCATTTCCAAGCAGGAACTCTGACACTGATGATGGAACAGGAATATATTTTGAGAAGTATATACTAAAAGATGACATTCTCCATGACACATCTGTAACTCAAAAGGACCAAGGCCAAGGTCTGGAAGAAAAAGCAGTTGGTAAGGATGATTCATACCAACCAGTAGCTGCAGAAGGGGAAATTTGGGGGAGGTTTGGAACTATTTTGGGGGAGAAGAGTCTGGAAGAGGAACAGAAAGCTATGTATAGGGAAGGAGAATCAGTAGGCTATGTGGGGCCACTTGACAATGAAGCTATGCATGGAAAAGTTCCCATCACTGAAGAAGTCACAGTGGTTACCCAGAAGGTAAGCTATGCGATTCCATTTGAAGACACCCATCATGTCCTGGAGAGAGTAGATGAAACAAACAGTCAGAGTAATGAAGCAGAAAATGCAAGTCCAGAAGTCAGTCTGAATGTCCCAGTACAGGTGTCCTTCCCAGAGGAAGAATTTGCGTCTGGCGTAACTTGTGTTCAAGAAACACTGCAAGAATCTAAAGTAATAGTCCCGCCTGAGCCAAGTGAAGACAGGCTCCGCCATAGCCCTGTTCAGGATGAGTATGAATTTGCTGAATCCCTGAATTATGAAATGGTTGTTCAAGACACTTTATCAGAGGAACTATATTCAGAATCCACACCTGAAGATGTGTTATCTCAAGGAAAGGAATCCTTCGAACACATCAGTGAAAATGAATTTGTGAGTGAGGTAGAACAAAGTACGTCTGCTGAACAGAAGGAGTTGGGTAGGGAGAGGACAGAACAAGAACAATTATCAGAGTTAGCAACTGAGAAGGAACAAAAGGAACTGAAAAAGTCCCAGATCGACACGTACTGTTACACTTGCAGAAGCCCGATTTCTGCTGTTGACAAGATGTTTGGTGCCCACAAAGACCACGAGGTTGCAACACTTGATACAGCTATAAGTGCTGTAAAGGTAAAGAGATGTTAAAGCTTATAAGTACATGACAATACACATACACTTAACTTGTTTTAATTAACGTTTTCTCAATTTAAAAAATGACCAATATTTAATATATTCATATTTAGGCATAATAGTCTGAAAGAAAGCTAAGAATTCTTTCCCTAAGCATTTAGTTAAGATCAGTTTGACAAACATTTATTGGGTATACACTATGTGCCAGGCATTTTTCTAGGTTCTTGCAACACCAGTGTAAATAACACAGGGTCACTGCCTTTGAGGGGTCCTCTCTTATGGCAGTAACCCTTAACATTATCTGAAAGGGCCAAAGGATTTTAAATTGAAAAATGTACTTTCGAGCATAAAACACAATTTATTTTCTATTATCTACGCTATTATTCTTTAAAAATACACATTTATATTACATTGAACAATATTATTGCAAGTTTTATAAAAAACTCAAGATGGTCGTTTTAAATTTTGGTTTTCTCTGTATTTCCTCCTTATGGTAAAATTGATATTAAAAATGGAAAACCTTTGCATTCTTTCTGGCTATGTCTATAGATTCCCAATGTTAAAAAGCTAGTCACAACACGTACCCTCAATGCATGTAATTATAAATACTCTCCCCAGAGATACTATTGGAAGTCAAGTATTTAGTCTTACAGATTGTGACATACTTTCAGTAGCCTTCTAACTGGAATCCCTATCCTTGTCTCTCCAAACCATCCTCCAGTACATTAGCCAGAATGATCTTAAAATGCAGACCATCACAAGAATTGAGCACTGGCTACGTGCCAGGCACTGTGTTAAATTCTGTGCATACAAGATATCATCTACTCCTCACAACAACCCTGTCATTATCATCAATTTTCAGACAATGAAATGAGTGCAAATTGTTTTAAGTGATTTGCTCAAGGTCATGGAAGACAGACTAGGATTGGTACCCAGGTCTGTCTGATGCCAGAGCTATGCTCTTGGCTGTATATCCGTATTGCTTGGCCCAGTGCTTGCTAATGGTAGCAATTTTCAATATGATTATTCAATCAGGTCACTGTTAAATAATTGTTAGGCTAATTTTGATTTAAAAAATGATGATAGAATCTTGACATTTTTTTCCCCAGGAAATTAAAATTTCTCAATTGTCTAACATAGGTTATGCTTCTCTACAGTGAAATTTTGTTGAAACTTTACCTGGTAAAATGTGGGAGTAGAAGATGGGGCAATTAAAAAAAAAAAAGAAATCTCAGGCTTCTGGATGCATTAGCACTGGTGAAATGTGCCCCATTCTGTGATGACACTTGGTTTCGCTAACTGACAACTACTGGGCACTGTCAGCAGAAAGACTAGATTTTTTTTAGCTTTCTTAATTATGTTTTATTTATCTCTCTGAGTTTTAGAAATTAAAAAATAATTCTGTCTAAATATTGTCAATTTAAAACAAAGTTCAAAAGCAAGGGGTTACGTCTCCTGCTTTAAAACCATTTTGAAGTTCTTCCCCCCTGATGTTCTCTAAACAGTATGACCAAAAAAAGTGGAAAGCTAGTTCACTAAAGCCAGAGAGACCTGCTTTGTTTCATTAAATCAACTGTGAAGATTAAGAGTTGGTTGACAACTTTTAAAAATTAGAAATCAATTTAAAGCTATACCTTGAGAATTCTCTAGCATCTTGTGTGAGCAGACCATTTGTGATGAGTCAGAAACTGGTGACTGCCTTTATAGATCATTGAGGTCCTTGCTTCTCCTTTCCTGCCATCTCCACTGTGGTGGCTTATCTTTTGCCACTTATTTTCTTCATTCACTCTCTCCTTCTTTCTCAGTATTTATTGACCTCCCATTACATGTTGGAAACTGTCTAATCATTGGGAATGACAACAAAAATAAAAGAAGATGGACTAATGGCTCCCCAAATCAGTCAGGATTATGGGAGCACAGTGTTTTGAAAAAGGACCCTTTTGGGAGTGAGCCAAATGATAGAGTAGGACTGAGAGGGTGAGGGAAGGTGAAGACCGAGTGAACCTTCAGTAAGATAGAGGTTTTTCCAGCAATCAAGGCACGGAGGACATTCTAGAGACAGGAAATACCACATGAAAAGGCACATGGGTGAGAAAAAGTTCAAGGAAAGATGGGGCTTGTGTGATTGGAGCCTGGGATCTTGTGGAAAAGAGGCAAGAGCTATAGAGGGAAGCAGAAGCCAGATCCAGAAGGGGCTTCCATCCTTGCAATTTCTCCATCATTCTGTGGATAGTGAACCAGGCAGCTGAATAGATTATAGCAGGGTTTATAACTATGGCTAAGGCAGCTACCATCTTCCCCCATGACCCATACATTTTCTAGTTGGCTTTCACTTCTTGAGTATTTTAACCCTGTAAGGGTTATTACAACCTTTAGGTCTCTTTAGTAAACAGTTTCCATTATTTGGTATGCTAGGCTCCTGGCCCAGTGACACTCTGAGCACCTTCTCAGAGTGATCCAGGCACACTGAGGCCATTGGCACAAATGTGAGGAGACTACTTGGATAAGTTGAACAAGTTCAACAAAAAGTCTGCAATCTTTGAAGAAGACAATGTATAAAAATTGAAGCTTTAGGGACACCCAGGTGGCTCAGTCAGTTAAGTATCCAACCATTGATTTCGGCTCAGGTCATGATCCTAGCGTTGTAGGATAAGCGCCAAGTCAGGCTCGGTACTGAGTGTGAAGCCTGCTTAAGCTTCTCTCTCTCTCTCTCTCTCTCTCTCTCTCTCTCGCCCATCCCCCCAACCCCGGCCTCAAATTTGAAAAAAATGAGGCTTTACTAAGGAGAAAATTAAAATCCATGGTTTACTAAAACAAGTATGCTTTGAATTTATGTACTCAACAAGAACTCCTTCCTCTTGCATGAGAAAATAAACTTTCTATTGCTCACTCACAAACCTCCTAATTGTTTAGCATACAGAATTATCTACAGTCAATTTAGATGAAGCAGCAAAGAAAATTTAAAGATTGATTTGTTAGTGAATGTCATATAGTAAATCTCTACCAAGTGTACTAAATTTATGAGGAAATTAGAGCTCACTGGTTGAAGTTATTTTATCAAATGTCATATACCAACCATATCTAAATTTTTTTCTTCAGGTCCAATTAGCAGAATTTCTAGATAATTTACAAGAAAAGTCCCTGAGGATTGAAGCCTTTGTTAGTGAGATAGAATCTTTTTTTAATACCATCGAGGTAAGTTACCATAACCCTTTTGCTTTGACCTGGTTTGTTCATGTCATTATAAGGAAAGAATTCTGAGCCAGAACAATCTGAATTAGGGATTGTGTATGCATATGTGGTTTGCCATTGTTGGTTTTGTTCCATTAAAAGTGAAGGTCCTCAAAGTCTTCCATCTGTGTGTAATCAGTGAAACTACTTCCTTTCCAAGGATAAACGACTTGTCCTTAAAAACATATACACATTTATTAGGTGCTTACGATGACAGGGCAAATGCTTTGCATGCTTTATCCAATGTAATCCTTACAATAACCATATGAAACAGGTGTTATTAATTTGTTCCCATTTTCTAGGTAAGGAACTGAAACTTAGAGTTAAGTATATTACCCAAGGTCATAGTAAGTTCATAGTAAGTTGAGAGTCAAAATTTAAATTCAGATCTGAGTTCTTAACTTGCTCCACTATCCTGTCTTTCATTGGCTAGCTCTGCAGAAATGCTTGATGTCCAATGCCCAGGACAAATGCGTGTCTCTCATAGTACCACTATCTGGATGAATTTATGCCCTCCTAGCTGTTGGCCCCTGCTCCCTCCTCAGTGGAGGCAGGGGTGGGGGGCCATCTCCATCCATATGCAGAAATGGCCCAGATATCCTCACTTGTCAATCAGACGTGGCAGAGGGCTGCTGCAGAAGGCTGGTGCCCACGTTCCCTATCATGAGGGCAACTCTCACCCTAGTTTGCTTGAGAAGAGTCTCCTTAACTCCTGTTTTAGATCAGTTAACACCTGCTAATTATTTCGAATGCCCCCACCAAGTATCCATTTTAGACGATAAATTATATGATCACCTTATCACTAGCCCCGTAGTGAGAACCACTATATCCAGTGGGTATCTGGATTTGCCAGATGGGCAATAAACTTTCTCTTACTGTGGTGGAAGCTGTCCCCCTCCCTGGAGAGCACTTGTGAATGTAGTGTCCTGTCCAGTATCTTGCTTCTCCCTTCCTCACACAAGGATTTTCATGGAATGGTGAAAATGGCACTAAACGAAGGTCAGGGATCTTCATTCATTCACTGTGACGCCATCTTCAAGTTTTATCCTGTGGAAATGCAAGTAGGCAAGCCTTCCACACAAATATCTTTTTGTTTGTTTGTTTCGTTAACTAAATCCTTCTGGATAATAATCTTACAGTGAATTTTATTGCAAAGCTAACCGTGGCCAAGAGGCTTGATGTGGCCAAGAGGCTAGACTGTGCCCATAATCTAAAATTCTCTTATGAAGACACCAGAGCTCAGTTCTTTAAAAGACTGGTGTTTCTCCTAAAAGAAAAGAAGCAAGACGTGCACTTTGTGATTCATTAAAAAGTGGGGGGTTTTTTTGTTTGTTTTATTTGTTTTTTAGGAAAACTGTAGTAAAAATGAGAAAAAGCTAGAAGAACAGAATGAGGAGATGATGAAGAAAGTTTTAGCCCAGTATGATGAGAAAGCCCAGAGCTTTGAGGAAGTGAAGAAAAAGAAGATGGAGTTCTTACATGACCAGATGGTCCACTTTCTGCAGAGCATGGACACGGCCAAGGACACCCTGGAGAGCATCGTGAGAGAAGCAGAGGAGCTCGACGAGACTGTTTTCCTGACTGTAAGCACCAATTAAAACAGGCCTAGACACCCTCCACTTGCTCTATGCATCCAAGTCTAGTTTTTAGAATTCATCTTTCAATATTCCCCAAGATCACTTGTATCATTTATATTTCTCTGTGGGGTTTATGTAATTCTGACATTTAAAGATTATTAGGTATGCCTGATGCTTATGGAAAAGGCCCAGAAAATCCTGAAAGTCTTAACATCCAAATCTAGCTGAAGGATACATGAAAGTCAGGTCACAGCATCAACCATTCACTCTGTCACATGGATTGGTCACCTTCTAAGAGTGAAGGAAAACAGCCTGAAAGCCTTACTCATGCTATGCCTTCCCTTTGGGTGCCAGCCTGATCTCCCAGTGCCTGGCATTCTCATGCTGGCCCCTGGGGCTGTCCTCTCCACTCCTACTCCCTAATCTGAAGTGACATCTCCTAGGGACCATTCCCTCTGAGCCTCACCCAGTGGCTGAGAGTAACATGTCAGTACACTTGCAGCATGCAAAAGTACGACATAATGTGATACCTCTTTCAGGTAACACATCAGTGTTTTTACAGGGGTCCTCCTGGGGACCAGATTCCTTAATTCAAGTATCTTATGGACCGAGATTCCCCTGGGTGATTCTCAAGTTGCACCACAGAGGCAGCTCTTTGCTCTCCTAATTCCCTAGAACATTCAGTAAGTTCCTGGTTCTCCATGGAACCAGGATTGACCAGGAGTAGTGTTTTCCTGGAGGATGGTCTCACACCTAATTGTCATATTGGAGGAAAGCACCATCTTATGAAGAGTTGGGACCTCCCTTTCAAAGTTCCCCAGTCCTCCCAGCTCTCAATTGAAGTCTGGAGATAAAACAAGGAAAAATGGGATAATGTTAAGCTTTTGATATGGAGATACTTCCAGGTAGGACTAATTTGAGTAGGTTAGATATGGCATCCTCAAAGGAGAATGAAAATCTTCAGTTGCTTTATGTTTAAGGCAAAGCTTTAATCTTTTAAAATTAGGCACCTCTTGTGAAGTGTAACATTAATAAAGTTCTTTGTGTTCCCTAAGAACCTTACCTTTGTTTGATAAAAATATTTTCTCTCTAGAACAAATTGGAAAAAAGAAAGCATTTTTTTTCTGTTTATGACAGTAATACATATCCATTTTTAAAAATTTGGAAAATACAGAAAAGCACAGAGAAGGTATCACCCAAAGATAACTACTGATTGCATTTTAGGTATATATCCCACATTGAACAAATAGAAGTCCTTTTTCTTGCTTTGGAGAATTCTATTCTGGAAGCTAAGCCATTTGTTAATGAGTAGAGAGGAGCAGCATAAGAATTCGTTGCTGGCCTTGCTTATCATAGAGAGTAGAGCAGAACTGGAAATTAAGCCCCTTCCATCCCTGCCCAGATCCCCCTACCTCTTCTGACCCTCATTTCCTTGCTGCTGGGGGTTATAGCCCCCAAAAGAAACAGACGGAGGGAAGATAAAAAGCTAAAAAATAATGCCTTTAGAACATGCATAATCTTAAGGCTCTAGGTTGGTTTTACACTTTGTTGTTAATTAGTTTCTCTCTCTCTCTTTTTCTCTCTCCCTCTTTCTTATTACCTCGTAAGTCATTTGAGGAAATCAATGAAAGGTATATAAAACGTGGCACAATGTAGTGGCGACTGAGAATAGCATGACTGTATGCTTTATTTTTAATATTTTGATGCTTTCTAGAAAATGAGCTGCCAATTAAAAAATACATACATTGACTGAGCTACTGAATTTTCACTTTTAGACACTGTGCTTTTAAAAGCTAAATGACAGCTTTGAAAGAATATTGCATGTGCTTCAGTTAAATAACAATTATAATGTAGATTTTTAACTGCTTCCTTGAGATGTATTCTGTATTTTCAGCCTAATCTGGACCATCTTTCTTGTCATTGCATATAGAACATTTTGTAGATACTTAGACTTACTGGTTAAATATGAGCATTTGAAAGAATCATTCATTTTTGCTTTGAGTAATTTTGACTTCTGCAATCTTAATGGAATGTTCTCTCAGTTTCTCTTCAAACGATAGGCATGCATGTATCTTCTCTTTCTTCTCAGCTAATCTAAGTGAATCTTCCTGTTTTGATTGTGTTTTGTCTTTGTTGCTGCCATTAACACTCAATCTAAGGGATTTTTGTCATTATTTTAAAAGGCAAAACACTCAACATGAAACTAGGAAATGTCTATAAAAACACGTACCATCAGATCTGTGTTTATCTTTTGGAGCATCTGATGATGAACTGCTCATACTGATCTGACACATTTTCCCTTTCGCCACAAAGCAAGACCTGAGGACTTTCCTACTAGTTGAGCCTAATGTTCTTATTATTTCTATCCCTTTGATGTACATTTTTTAAAATTGTAAATTTGGTTCAGTTTACTTCAATGGCAAATTGCAAAAGAGCATAAAGCAAAATAAAAAAAAATACGTTTGTGTTATATTAAAACATAGAAACCTGATTTTTTTTTTAGATAATGAAAACTGCACAGATGATTCCTGCTTACCTTTAAAAACAATCTATGCAACAGAATATTGCTAATACGTTTTAAGAAAATAACTTGTATGTTAGTACTGGCGTTATTCAATAAGGGTTTTTATTACGATGGCTCTGTCATAAATCAAATTACCCAGGGAGCTTTAAAAAGTGCTGACGCTTGAATTGTGCCTCTAGTGATTCTGATTTAATTGGGTTGGGATATGGCCTGGGCATTTTTAAAGCTTCTGAGGTGATTGTAATGGGCAGACAGGGTTGAGAACCTCTGGCGTATAACAATCCATCCTCCAGTGCACTGGTTCCGTAAACATGTTATGCCTGAATTACCTGTGAGGTTTGTTAAAGGAAAGCGCCTGGAGTCCCACCCCAGATCCACTGCAGGAGAAGCCAGGGTGGGATGATGGGTCTGCATGGTTACCAGTCCTCACACAGGAGTCTCAGGCACACCAGGTAGGTCTGGAAACTCATACCCAGACCTTATTTCCAGTTCTCTTTATTTTTAAAAAAAGTATACATTTCTCTAAGTATTATTGAATTTTGTCTAAAGAGTATATGGATTTTTATATTACAGTGCCATTTCATATACACTGGACAGTGTAGATGCGTTATTTCCTTACTGATATTTCATCTACTCACTGAACATGCTGATTGGCATGAAAATTTGGTGAATAGGGGCGCCTGGGTGGCGCAGTCGGTTAAGCGTCCGACTTCAGCCAGGTCACGATCTCGCGGTCCGTGAGTTTGAGCCCCGCGTCGGGCTCTGGGCTGGTGGCTG